ACTGATCCTTCTTTCAACTAATGTTAACTCTGATATTGGCTTTAGTAACTGATCCTTCTTTCAACTAATGTTAACTCTGATATTGGCTTTAGTAACTGATCCTTCTTTCAACTAATGTTAACTCTGATATTGGCTTTAGTAACTGATCCTTCTTTCAACTAATGTTAACTCTGATATTGGCTTTAGTAACTGATCCCTCTTTCAACTAATATTAACTCTGATATTGGCTTTAGTAACTGATCCCTCTTTCAACTAATGTTAACTCTGATGTTGGCTTTAGTAACTGATCCTTCTTTCACCTGTGTATACTAATTATATGAAATGATGTTTTTTAATATATTCTTCTTATATTTTGATAAGAAGACTCCTAACAATTTACAGAGATTACTTTTTATGCAAGTAGCCATGACTTTACAAGTTCTACATTAAGGCAACATTAGTAAAGATCAATCTATCAGTAGGACAATCTCTATATTGAAGATCACGTATTCTACGGTTGGGGCACATTGCTTAGTGAAAGATTATAAGTTCAAACCTTAATAGTTACTAGCTGAAAAATCAACACTTTTAATGATTTGTTTGTTTGTTTTTGAATTTTGTACAAATCTACATGAGGGCTATCCCACACTAGCTGTCTCTAATTTAGCAGTGTAAGACTAGAGGGAAAGCAGCTAGTCATCACCACCCACCGCCAACTCTTGGGCTACTCTTTTATAAATGAATAGTGGGATTGACCATCACATTATAATGCCCCCATGGCTGAAAGGGTGAGCATGTTTGGTGGGACGCGGATTCGAACCCGCGACTCTCAGATTGCGAGTCAAGTGCCCTAACCACCTGGTCATGCGGAGCCTTTAATGAATTAACCATTGACATAAGCTTTATGCTTACTATATATTTCAAAAAGATCAAGCTTACTCACTAAATGGTTTATTAGGGTTATTTTTAGCTGGTTTATTTTTGTTGTAATTACTGTTTATTCTGTATGAACTTTAGTGATATCTTTATATACATATCCAAAAAAGCTCCATCATCAACTGATAGACATGAAAAATGCTTCCTTACTTTATATTCATGAAATTTGATGGTTCTTGTTTTTGGCTGAAACTTTGATTTAGATTTTTTTCGACTTCTGCTGCCACTCATACCGTCTTTACTCTGACCATGGCACGGTGAATCTGTCACAGAGCTGGTTGTTGGTGGACACGGGGTAGAAACAGCATGTAAGGACAATGGAGAACTCCCAGGAGAAGAGAGAGATGTAGTTTTATTAGAGTTCGGGGACTCCAAAATTGGAGATGTCTCACTTGTGTCCAGTGATGGAAAGCTGTTGAATTACATTAATATTTTATAGTCGATTTATTGGAAAGTAAAAACATAATTTATTGAAGAAAAGAAATACCAAATATTACATTCCAGGTAACTGTATGAAAATGATTTGAAAAGAAGACAATGTCTTATCCTCCATTTCATACTTTGTAAACTGTCTTTATTCTGTAACTTAAGTAAACTTCAAGACTCTAGGACGACAGTAAAAGCCAACACTCACAATCCTGGTTGGATCCTACAACTTTACAACAGTAACTGAATGTTATTGCTAAATGACATGGTAATAATATTTTATTCTCTAATAAACACGAGCTAAAACTTTCTCCCAAGAAACATTCGATACAATATTAAGACCAAATCATGATTTATTTGTATTTTTTAGAAAAAACCTGCAATTAAATGTTACTATTTTTTGTTTTTTTTATAAATAGCTCTGAAAAATAAAATTAAAAAAATGAAAAGACTTGATACATGAAATCAAAATGTATTGATTTAAGTAATACGTTTAGAACTCTCAGTGAGATGTGAAAGAATGAAAAGTTTTAAAATACTAATATTATATTTTGGAGCTCTAACAGCTCAGGGTTTAATAATGAGATCAAACCTGCTGTGTGACTGTCCGTTTGTCTCTTGAGGAGACGATAAGGCTCCATCACTACTGCTTTCTTCCTCGTTCATAAGCTGTGGGGATGGATGCTGGATTGTTTCTCCCTCACAAGTTTTCCTGAAAGTTATTTGTCCCTCTGGATAAAATAAAACTGATGCTAAAAATTGAAATGACAAACTGCTGTATCCAGTATTAATAAATTGTACACAATATCTATATATTAAGTACTACACACAACCAAAAACACTAATAATTTGAATGATTAGAACATATCACAGAATTGTGGTATATTATAGGAATGAAACATACTATAAGTAGCATCAACTTAGAAAAACCTATTTTCACCATATATTCCACCTGATCAGTACCTGAGAAAAAAATATTTTCACCATATATTCCACCTGATCAGTACCTGAGAAAAACATATTTTGACTATATATTCCACCTGATCAGTACCTGAGAAAAACATATTTTCACCATATATTCCACCTGATCAGTACCTGAGAAAAACATTTTCACTATATATTCCACCTGATCAGTACCTGAGAAAAACATATTTTCACTATATATTCCACCTGATCAGTACCTGAAAAAAACATATTTTCACCATATATTCCACCTGATCAGTACCTGAGAAAAGCCTATTTTCACCATATATTCCACCTGATCAGTACCCTGAGAAAAGCCTATTTTCATCATATATTCCACCTGATCAGTTCCCTGAGAAAAAGCCTATTTTCACTATACATTCCACCTGATCAGTACCCTGAGAAAAACATTTTCACTATATATTCCACCTGATCAGTACCCTGAGAAAAGCCTATTTTCACCATATATTCCACCTGATCAGTACCCTGAGAAAAGACTATTTTCATCATATATTCCACCTGATCAGTACCCTAAGAAAGGTTCAGATAAAAACACTTAAGTTTTTCTTAATATAGATTATTTTGTTATTGATTAGCAGGTTTGATGTGTATGTTATTAGTGTTAATGTTTCCCCATTAAAAAGTTATAAGAAAAAGGCCCTATGGGAAATTGGATTTAATTACTGTTTGTATTTGGAAATGGATTTTAGGTAGTGATTGAACCGCACGGTGATATGCCAGGATTCAGAATGGCAGCTAGGAATGGAGACAACATTTACTATAAAAGAAGGAGGCTAGTTTAAGTATGGAATGTCTTTTACTTTTGGTATCTCAGGGAAGGAGTGTTTATAACAGGTGGGAATGCAGAGTGGTAGGCAAAGAGCTGTTGCAACTACTCGTTTTTTCCGACTCTGAAGTTTATTAATTTGGTGTTACAAGTTATCATATTGCCACGATCTAGTAGAGGTCTGATACAGGCTTTATTAATGAACATGACCGGTACAAGTCGTCCCTATTGCTGTTTATTTTTAGCTTCTTACTATGAGTATGGTACAAAATACATTACGATACGTACTAAGATCAACTCATACAAAGTACATCCACAATACTATATTTATTTTGAAATTCCATTATTCAGCAATAGAGCACTGATCCTGGGTTCAAGTCATGGTCTTGGAGTTACATATTTCCGTCATTTGAGATATACAACTCAGTATTTTGAATAAATAACATATAGTTTATTTGACTGCTTAATAATAAAATTCTCTCTTTTCTTTTTTGTTTCAAGCTTTGAAGTGTGGTATTTGTTTTTAACTTTTTTATATTATACACAAAACTTAATCTTTAAGTAAACTATAAAATTTGTAAATAAATTTACAAAAAAATCTATCTTTCTTATGTTACATAATGTCATTGAAGCAAGAAATCACTGTGATTCATGTATAATAACTATTCACATATTATCAAACTGGACTTAGACTTAATCCTACCCTTTATGGCTTGTGTTAGTCTTTCATCAGCACAAAGAATGTTTCCTTTAATCAGCTCTAGAGGTCCAGGTCGATGTGAAATGCGGTTGTTGAGGTTGTCTGTAAGCCGAGCTTTCTTCAGCTGCTTCTGCTTCTCGTGAAGACTGGGGTCAATTGTCGTATCTATTATATATATATATTACTAGAAAATTATAAACATGTTCTTACCTCCTATATCACTAGAAAATTATAAAAAAATATAAATCTCATTTACTAGCAACATACAGTTGGTATTCTTGTATCAACTGACAAAGGGAAGAAATGTAACGTAAGAGCAACATACACATCAGCTGGTATTCTTGTATCAACTGACAAATGAAAGAAATGTAACGTAAGAGCAACGTACACAACAGCTGGTATTCTTGTATCAACTGACAAGGGGAAGAAATGTAATTTTAAAGCAACATTAACTTTTTCTGAGTTTTCTACTAGAAGTGGAATGTAACATTACATATAAACTATCACTTTATAATTACAAAAACCTAAAGCTTACAACATCTGAGTTCAAAGAGCACTCTACAAAAAAGTAAAATGTGGGTGGAGCTTGAAAAGTTTAGAAAATTTTTTAAATATTTGTACCAGTAAATGTGGAAGCTAATTATAAAAGAATAACACTAGAAATGCCATAAATTTAACTGACAAGGATCAGCTATTCTTTTCACTTTCTCTATACTGAATTCATTATCAAATAAAATGTGTATATTTGATATTTATGTGTTACACTACCAAATAAAGGCAATGCTAAAAAATCTAGAAACATCATATAGACTACCAATTAACATTCTTTAGGGCTAAAAATAACCTTCACCCTAATTAATAAGTCACTCTAATGGACTGTCACATGTCAGGCTTAGCACACTTAAAAACACATTAATTTTTTCTGCAGTAAATAAAATTAAACTATAAATGCTCATTCATTACAAGCTAAAGACTTTTATGAATGTAAAATACGTATTAAAAATGTATGTATTCCTGAAGAAATGGCAAACTTCTAAGTAGTGTTAAAAGAAATTTTAAATTATAATTCCCACCTTCAAGGATATGTTGATGAACCAGTTTCTGTCGGTCAGGTCGATACTGTATCTTGTTTTTAAGAATGTTACTCATCTATAAATACAGGGAATATAAACTACATGAAGTTGGGTTTGGTGGTTTTTCTTGTATAATATTAATTAATTAACTTAAGTTTTTATACTTACTTATAAGGTTTGAAGGTAGATTATAAAAATATTTTTTATTACGACCAGAATCCTTCTAAATTAAATAATCAAATAATACATTAGCAGGTTCATAGATAAACAAATTTAAACTATGTGACAAAATAAATAGTTAAAATAAAGATAATGTGAGATAATTGAACAAATTTGAAACTTTTATAATTAATCTTATGTATTATAATCAACACCTTTGCTCGTTCCAGTTTCTGTCTTTGCAGGTGGAAAGACGGAGGAGCATTCAAGGCTGGATAAAAAAAACATTTTGTAATATTCGTCAAACACACGGACCTGTCTTTATGTAATATTGTTTTAAAAAACATATTATGGTAAGCTAATCTACACAATAGCAATCTTCAAACTATATACAAACACATCTTCAAGTACCTTACAGTTTTAGAAAGTAACCTTATAAACTGTTACAATATTTTAAGAAACACCATACAGACATCAATACAAACACATCTTCAAGTACCTTACAGTTTTAGAAAGTAACCTTATAAACTGTTACAATATTTTAAGAAACACCATACAGACATCTATACAAACACATCTTCAAGTACCTTACAGTTTTAGAAAGTAACCTTATAAACTGTTACAATATTTTAAGAAACACCATACAGACATCTATACAAACACATCTTCAAGTACCTTACAGTTTTAGAAAATAACATTATAAACTGTTACAATATTTTAAGAAACACCATACAGACATCTATTCAAACACAACTTCAAGTGTAGCAAGTACCTTACAGTTTTAGAAAGTAACCTTATAAACTGTTACAATATTTTAAGAAACACCATACAGACATCTATACAAACACATCTTCAAGTACCTTACAGTTTTAGAAAGTAACCTTATAA